GTGTAGTATGGTCGGCGCTCACACAACGCACACACCAGACCACATACGAGCGGGGCACACACAACACACGCGGGCACAGACACACACACACCACAGAACGCACACGCACACGCACACGCACACGCACACGCACGACCGCACACGCACACGCACACGCACGACGCACACACACACCACACACCACACACACACACACACACCACACCACACACACACACACACACACACACAACACACACACACACACACACACACACACACACACGACACACGCACACGCACACACACGCATTGGCGCAGGTAATAAGAAAGGTAGCGCAGTGTCCCGCCTTCGTCATCGGAGTCTTGCGAAGGGGAAGGTGGCGTCAAGAGGGAATCGGACTCATAGATAGATAAGACAAATAGATGGATGGATAGGTAGGTAGGTAGATAGATAGATGATAGGATAGATAGATAGATAGATAGATAGATAGATAGATTAGATAGATAGATAGATAGATAGATAGATAGGATAGATAGATAGGTTGAAATAGGTAGATTATATATATATATATATAGTAATAGATAGAGATAGATAGATAGATAGATAGATAGATAGATAGATAGATAGATAGATAGATAAGACAAATCGATGAGTAGATAGATAGGTAGATAGATAGATAGGAATTTATTATTGGATAACGCGAAGTTTGGCGTGGGAATTTCAAGGCCGAGAGAGAGAGAGAGAGAGAGAGAGAGAGAGAGAGAGAGAGAGAGAGAGAGAGAAGAAGAGAGAGAGAGGAGAGAGAGAGAGAGAGAGAGAGAGAGAGAAGAGAGAGAGAGAGAGAGAGAAGAAAATGTATGTGTGTGTGTGTGTATGCGTGTGCGTGCGTACGTGTGCGTGTGTGTATGCAACATGTGTATGGAAAAGATAGACGGACACGAGGGCAAGACTTGCAAAAAGGGGCAAGAAGCAAACAAGGAATCGCCAAGGAACCGGTGTCCTGCAGATCAGTTGGTTCCGCGCTCTTGGCATCGGCGCTGAACTGGCCGCTCGCTCCCGCCGTCGGTGCATTGGGGATTAGCTGAGCTGATTGATGTTGTTTTGGCAGCAAGTCTGAAGGGCAAGGCATAAGCACATACGCACACACGCACACACACTCTCTCTGCCTCTGTCTCTGTCTCTCTTGTTCTCTTTATCTCTCTTCCTTCCTCTCTCTCTTATCAATCTGTCTCTTTCTCTCCCCTCTCTCTCTCTTCCCTCCTCCCTCTCTCTCCTCTCTTCCTTCTTCCTTCCTCTCCCCTCTTCCTTCCCCCCCACCCTATCCCCCTCATTCCCTCCTCCATCCCACCCTATTCCCCTCCTTCCCTCCTCCCTTCCACCCTATCCCCTCAATTCCCTCTCTCACCCTATCCCTCATTCCCTCTCTCACTCCCTATCCCCCTCATTCCCTCTCTCAATCCCTCCCTTCTTCTTTCCCTCTTCCCTCCCTTCTTCCTTCCTCCCTCCCCCTCCCTCATTCCTCTCTCCCTCCCTCCTCCTACTTCCTTCCCTCCTTCCCTCCCTCCCCTCCCTCATTCCCTCTCTCCCCTCCTCTCCTTTTGTCCTGTCATATTTTTTCGAACGACTGCTTTAGTCATCAGTCGTTGCTATTGTTGAGGAAGATGATGACTGTCTTATCCTTGGTGTCTATGATAATGATGTTCTTCTTTTCAGCTCGAAATATCTTTGTATTCCTGTTAGTATAGATACCTTTTGTGTATGTCTGTATGAGTGTATACCCTTTGCGCGCGCGTGTGTGTGTATACTTGCGCGTGTGTGTGTACTTGCGCGTAGTGTATGCGCGTGTATGTGTACTTGCGCGTGTGTGTGTATACTTGCGCGTGTATGTTTGTGTGTGTAGACAGAACAGCGAAGGGTAAAAAAACAGGAAGACGCACGTTTTGTTTACAACTTATTCGGCGTGAGATCTTCGACCTGGAAGCGCGTGCGTCTGCAATATTTACCTGAATCTTGAACTTGTTACCTTAAAGTTATTGAATTAATTTCCTGTGTCCTGTTTTCTTCTGCTCCTCCGTTTCCTAGTTTTTTTATTCTGTTTGCCCTTGTAGGTGATTTTTTGGGGTTTGTTTTTTCCTGTTTACGTCTTTGTCTCCGCCCCATCTCTATCCCTCTCTTCCTCTCCTTTTCTCTCTCCCTTTTTCGTCTCTCTCTCTCTCTCTCTCTCTCTCTCTCTCTCTCTCTCTCTCTCCTCTCTCTCTCTCTCTTCTCTCTCTCACTCTCCTCTCACTCTCACTCTCACTCTCACTCTCACTCTCACTCTCACTCTACTCTCACTTACTCTACTCTTACTCTTACTCTTACCTTACTCTTACTACTCTTACTCTTACTCTTACTCTTACTCTTACTCTTACTCTTACTCTTTCTTACTCTTACTCTTACTCTTACTCTTACTCTCTCTCTCATCTCATCTCATTCTCACTCTTACTCTTACTCTTACTCCTCATCTTACTCCTCACCTGATTCCAACCCGTGTCGTTCTCTCCCAAGCGCCCTAATCTGACTCTCGTTCTCCCTCTCCCCCGCCAGCCGCCATGACCGCCCTGGCCATCGGATCGACGTTCTTCATGTCCGTGGTGGCGGGCGTGATGACGGACACCCTGGGCATCCGGGTCACCACGTTCATCGGCGGAGCGCTGGCCACCGCCGGCATGTTCATCTCGTCGTTCTTCTATGATAAGGTTGGGAGATGCTGGTGGAGATGGTGGTGATGTTGGAGGAGCCGATGGAGATGCTGGAGGAGGGAGGATATGGTGGTGATGTTGGTGGAGATGCTGGGGGGAGGGATGGAAGGGGGGGGAGGGATTACTTGACTAATTTTTTCGTTTTCCTTTTTCCGGGGGCGGGGTCAGGGATGTTGAAAGGTGGATTTTGGTTTCTCTTTTTTACCGCGATGAGGTTAAGTAATGTGTCCTTTCATTGTAGTGTTTCTTGATATATAAGGGTCGACTCCTCAAATTGGGTCGCTGAGGTATTTGAGAGAAGGGTTATTGATGCAACATACCTGTGTTTAATTAAATAATAAAACTGACCTGTGCTTTGTAAAAAAAAAAAAAAAATGACCCACATTACAGTATCTCTTTTATATGTTAAGATTCTAGATTATCGTCAGAGGGTACGCGGGTCAAAGGTCATTAAAGAGAGAGAGGGCGGGGAAGGGGTGCTCAAATTTCCTATAGACGAGTGTTTGCTAGTTTGACCCCAAACGACAGACTCCAAAAAACCCGGCAACTTCTTCAGGAATGTCTACTCATAAATCCGTGATTCAGACCTCCCATAAATCCGAAGCTTTGGTATATGCCAGGACCCGACACAAGCAGCAGAATTAAGGCTTTAGGTGAATTAGAAAATTAAGTGCTTTTTTATTTTCAAGTTAATTTATTAGCATATAAACAGTTTACCAAATCAATAGATCCAATAAAAAACGACAAAAGACCCCGTCCGCGCTATCGGGCAGAACACGACGGGCAAAATGTTACCAAATGACGTTTCAGTTTATACGTTCTGGCGGTGTTTTGCGGGCACGAGCGGAGATGACGTCACGAGAGGGGAAAGCACTTGCAGCCTCCGGGCGAAGCATCGAAATGCACGGGCAACTGAGGTCATTCCCGCTTGGGGCATCGAACCACTTATGCCCGACAGACTGCTCGGTTAATCCCGTCGGGTACTGCTCGACCCATTAAGAGTGCCTGAGAAGTAAGGGATATACTACACTCGCTGAAAGTTTGTATCAGTCGGGCATGGATATCGGGGGGGAAATAGTCAGTTCAAAGTGTGACTAATGCTGCACTCCCTCCCCCGATTCTGGAAAGATGCGTTTCCCTTTATATTTCTTAGTTTTAGATGATGAAATAACACACCCATCCTTACCCCAATTGACCCCTCCTCCTTCTGGCCCCTCCCTCCTTCTGGCCCCTTCCCTCCTTCTGATCCCCCCCTCCCTCTGGGCCCCTCCCTCCTTCTGACCCCTTCCCTCCTTCTGACCCCTCCCCCCTTCTGACCCCCGTCCCCGTTCTGACCCCCCCTTTCTGACCCCCTCCCTCCTTTTGACGACCCCCCTCCTTCGACCCTCCCTCCTTCTGACCCCCTCCCCTTCTGTCCCCCTTTCTGACCCCCTCCCCCTTCTGACCCCCCTCCTTCTGACCCCTCCCCCTTCTGACCCCTCCCCCTTCTGACCCCCTCCCCTCGCTTCTGACCCCCTCCCCCTTCTGACCCCTCTTTCTGACCCCTCCCCCTTCTGACCCCTTCCCTCCTTCTGACCCCTTCCTTCTGACCCCCTCCCCCCCTTCTGACCCCTCCCCCTTCTGACCCCTCCCCCCTTCTGACCCCCTCCCGCCCTTCTGACCCCCTCCCCCTTCTGACCCCCTCCTCCTTCTGACCCCCTCCCCCTTCTGAACCCTCTCCCTCCTTCTGACCCCTTCCCCCTTCTGACCCCCTCCCTCCTGACCCCTCTCCCCGTTCCTGACCCCTCCCCCCTTCTGACCCCCTCCCCCTTCTGACCCCCTCCCCTTCTGACCCCCTCCCCCGTTCTGACCCCCTCCCCCGTTCCTGACCCTCCCCTTCTGACCCTCCACCCTTCTGACCCCGACCCCTCCCCCTTTCTGACCCCTCCCCCCTTCTGACCCTCCCCCTTCTGACCCCCTCCCTCCTTCTGACCCCTCCCCCCTTCTGACCCCTCCCCCTTCTGACCCCCTCCCTTCTGACCCCTCCCCTTCTGACCCCCTCCCCCCTTTCTGACCCCTCCCTCCTTTTGACCCTCCCCCTTCTGACCCCCTCCCCTCCCCCCTCCCCCCTCTGGCCCCCTCCCCCCTCTGGCCCCCCTCCTCCGACCCCCCGTTCTGACCCCTCCCCTTTCTGATCCCCTCCCCCCTTTTGACCCCCTCCCCCGTCTGACCCCCTCCCCCTTCTGACCCCTCCCTCCTAACCCCTCCCTACCCCCTCCCCCCTGACCCCTCCCTCCCCCCCCTTCTGACCCCCTCCCCTTCTGATCCCCTCCCTCCTGACCCCGTCCCTCCCGCAGGTGGAAGTCCTGATGATCACCTACGGGCTGATGTTCGGCGGCGGGGCGTCCCTGGCCTACACGCCGTCGCTGGTGATCCTGGGCCACTACTTCCAGCGCTGGATGGGCCTGGTGAACGGCTTCGTGACGGCGGGGTCGTCCGTGTTCACCATCGTGCTGCCGTTCATCCTACCTTACATCCTCGAGATCGGCATCCAGACCACGTTCCAGGTGCTCGCCGGCATCACGGCCTTCCTCATGGTGAGTGCGCGGCGGAGGAGAGGGTCGGTGGAGGGGGGGGGAGAGGGGCGTCGTTGCTGTTGTGGGTTTGGCTTGGCTGTTGCTGCTTGCTCTGGGCGGCACCGTCGTTAGCGTTGTTGTTGCTTTGATGCCCTCCTTGCCGTTTTTATTAGAATCCTTCCTATTATCATTATCATTAGTATTATCATTACCGCTATTCTGTTACGGCTACGACTACGACTACGACTACGACTGCTATTAACTACTACTACTACTACTACTACTACGACTACGACTACTTCTACTTCTACTTCTACTTCTACTTCTACTTCTACTACTACTTCTACTACTACTACTACTACTACTACTACTACTACTACGACTACTTCTACTTCTACTTCTACTTCTACTTCTACTTCTACTTCTACTTCTACTTCTACTTCTACTTCTACTACTACTACTACTACTACTACTACTACTACTACTACTACTACTACTACTTTCACTACTACTACTACTACTACTGCTGCTGCTTCTGCTGCTATTATTATTATTACCGTTATGGTTGCTATGTAGTTGATTTGTTTGTTATATTTCATTTTCATTCATTGGCATCATCACGGGCTTACTCATGGTGAATCAAGGGTATTTATTTTATGCTTATGATTTTGTGGATATAAGGAGAGAGTACTTGATTATTACTTTTATTTTTTATTTATTCCTTTAGTTTTGTTTCTGGTTTAGTGATTCTAAGATTCTATTTGTTTTCATTTTTGGCATTGTCTTTAGTGCAGTTTGTCATATTTGTTCCCCCTTTCCTTGTATCTTTGTCGCTTTACAGATATATATTTTTAAGTTGTATTTATCTCCGTCTTAAGAGCAGTGATTTTCATCAGAGTAAAAGCAGATTAGATTAATTTCAGATAACTTTCGTATCAAACTTTATCAGAATGGTGTAGATTACAGCTTCTAAAAGTAAACCTGAGATTTATAGTTATGTTACGCAACTGTATTCTTCTTCTCCTTTTCATTCGTCTACATCATTATCATTATCATTAACATTAAGGCTTGACATACTCTCTCTTGTCAAATAAAGTAAAAAAAAAAAAAAAGATACACTATGGAAAAAGTGCAGGACAATTCGTTATTATCATCATAATAATTCGTTGATATATTATCCCATATTCCCGTTTACTTCCATTTTCTAACCTTGACTCATCCTCTCTCTCTCCTTTTCTCCCGCCACAGATCGCGGGCCTCGTGTTCAAGCCGCTGATGCCGATCCTGCCGCAGCCCCGTCCGGTCTACGACGACACGTGCAAGGGCCAGTGCAAGGCCTTCTTCTCGCGGATCATCAACTTCAAAATCTGGAAGAACAAGCGCTACGTCATCTGGACGCTGGCCATCCCTTCCGCGCTCTTTGGGTATTTCGTGCCCTACGTGCATCTGGTGAGTGGGAGGGGGTTGGGTTGGGGTTGAAGTGGGTGGGGGGTAGATGGGTGGGGAATGGAAGAGGGGAGGTGGGGTGGGGTTGGGGGTAGATGGGTGTCGAAGGGAAGAGGAGAGGGGTGGAAGGAATAGGGGAGGGTGGGGGAAGGGAAGAGGGGAGGGGTAGGTGAAAGGAAGAGGGGAGGGTGGGTTGAAGGGAGGGGAGTGGGTAGTTGAGAGTGGGGTAGGAGGGGATGGGAGAGGGAATGTGGTATGTGGGAGGGGAGTCTCTCTCTCTCTCTCTCTCTCTCTCTCTCTCTCTCTCTCTCTCTCTCTCTCTCTCTCTCTCTCTCTCTCTCTCTCTCTCTCTCTCTCTCTCTCTCTCTCTCTCTCTCTCTCTCTCTCTCTCTCGTCTTTCTCTTTCTGTCTCTGTTCTCTCTCTCTTCTCTCTTTCTCTCTTCTCTCTCCTCTCTTTCTCTCTTTCTCTCTTTCTCTCTCTTTCTCCCTTTCTCCCTTTCTCTCTTTCTCTCTTTCTCTCTTTCTCTCTCTCTTCTTCTCTCTTTCTCTCTCTTTCTCTCTTTCTCTCTTCTCTCTCTCTCTCTCTCTCTCTCTCTCTCTCTCTCTCTCTCTCTCTCTCCTCTCTCTCTCTCTCTCTCTCTCTCTCTCTCTCTCTCTCTCTCTCTCTCTCTCTCTCTTCTCTGCTCTTTTCTTTCTCTCCTTTTCTCTCTCTCTTCTTCTCTCTCTCTCCCTTTCTCTCTCTCTCTCTCTCTCTCTCTCTCTCTCTCTCCTCTCTCTCTCTCTCTCTCTCTCTCTCTCTCTCTCTCTCTCTCTCTCTCTCTCTCTCTCTCTCTCTTTCTCTCTTTCTCTCTTTCTCTCTTTCTCCCTTTCTCCCTTTCTCCCTTTCTCCCTTTCTCTCTCTCTCTCTCTCTCTCTCTCTCTCTCTCTCTCTCTCTCTCTCTCTCTCTCTCTCTCTCTCTTCTCTCTCTCTCTCTCTCTCTCTCTCTCTCTCTCTCTCTCTCTCTCTCTCTCTCTCTCTCTCTCTCTCTCTCTCTTTCTCTCTCTCTCTCTCTTCTCTCTCTCTCTCTCTCTCTCTCTCTCTCTCTCTCTCTCTCTCTCTCTCTCTCTCTCTCTCTCTCTCTCTCTCTCTCTCTCTCTCTCTCTCTCTCTTCTCTCTCTCTTTCTCTCTCTAGCTAGAATTATTAGTAATTAGAAATATTGCCATATGTTATGATTTTGATCAGAAAAAATGGCTTCTGCCTGTCATTAGTTTCTGATTACACTTTATACACTTAACAGGTGAAACATGTAAAGCTGATCTTAGGACAAGATACTGAGTCCCAGATTTTGATTCAGTGCATTGGTGCGACATCTGGCCTTGGTCGGATTTTGTTCGGGTTTATTGCTGACTGTCCTTGGGTGAACCGCATCATTCTCCAACAGGTGTGACAAGTATAGGTGTCTTGCTTCTAGTTCAATAATGGTTGTTGAGAATATATCCTCATTTATCATATATGTAATCTTATCATTTCCATACTTGTGCTTTTATTTTTGTGGCTTAGAATCGTATATTGTTCAGATTTTCTTTTTCTTCAATTTTGATATAAGAATAGAGTTAGACAAGATATCCTTGATATGTTTATTCATTTGTTTCTTTAATTTTCAACGATTACAGATATCCTTCTTCTGCATTGGCACCCTGACGATGCTTATCACGGCAGCCAATGCCATGCCTTTCTTCATTGTGATCGCGTTGTTCATGGGTCTGTTTGATGGCTGCTTCATTTCCCTGCTGGGTCCCATAGCTTTTGATATTGTGGGAACTGCAGGTGCATCACAGGCCATTGGGTGTTTACTAGCCTTCTGTTCTATCCCCTTAACCTGTGGCCCAGCCATTGCAGGTGAGAGGAATTTTGATCTGCATCATGGGGCAAGTGCATGTACCTAGGGGATTCCTCTTTGAAATGAGAGTATTTCAAAATGCTAACTTATGTACTGTTTTGTCATTCCCCTTTTTTATTTTCCTTTCTATTCTCTCTCTCTGAATTTGTTTCCTGCGTGTTTCAGGTTACATCTACGATCAGTTGGGAAGCTATCTGATACCATTCCTTTGTGCTGGTATCCCTCCTATTGTTGGGTCTCTTGTCCTCTTCAGCATAAGCTGTATGAAACAGCCACCACAGGTATGACAATTTTGTATCTTGCTCTTTTGTACTTGGGATGCTTTTTCCATGACTAATTCACTTAATGTAGATTTATTTGTAATTACCAGTAGGATCACTATACAGAGTCGAATATGGTTACATTTTATGGTCATGATGTCTCTTAGTTCTTTGTCTCTTTTGCCTATATTTAAACATATTACCATTTATTCTTCTATTTTAAAAGCAATTTTTATTGGTTATCCTTAATGAGATCACCCTTGAAATTGCTAATATTACTCTGACTTTGATAATGACTCTAATCATGATGAAGGAGAGTGCTTTACAGGGTGCTCCAGGATCTCCTGTGCGAGAGCCACCAGAGAAACAGAACAACGTACCCGCTACAGAAGAGCCCAAGGAGACACATCAACTCATGTCAGGTATGAAAGTCAACTTTTTTTTTCTTTTCCTCTCATGCTTCCTAGTAATCAGAAATATACCTGGATATTTATTTTTAGAATGGTGTTTTTCTGTCGTATTTACCCATTTTCTTCTGTACTTTTTGGGCATTTTTTCTCATACCCTGTATTATTATTATTTTTTTAAATTTTTTGTCCTGCATATTTTCTTTCTTAATAATTTTTTTCACTTATTTTTCCAGTCTCTTTTTTCTTTATTTCAAGTAGAAATAGGATTGCCATTTTATGAATTGTAAATAGGATGATAGTTAATAGATAATGATCCGTAAACAGCTAAGCAGGTATATGGTAACACAGATTAATACAGCTAGCTCTTTAGGTATGTTTAGTTAGACTGATAGTTGGGTAGATAGATGAATATATAGATAGGAAATTTTATTTGTAAATAGGTTATTGGATAAATAGGTAGATATTTTTTTCATTTGAAATGAAAACACCCACAGTAAAAAAGAAAAGGGAAATCTACAAGATTTATAATCAGGCTGGATTCCTCTTATGGCAGTTCCACTAGATTTATCTGACTCTGGAACCAGACCAAAGATGGGGATTGTTGCCCTTCTGAGCAGGTCAGGCACAATAGAGTCTTGGAGTCTTCTCTGCCCATATCTTGTATTTTTTGAAAGGTTATAAGGATCTACAGTTTATGATTGTCTCAGAAATTTGTTAAATATTATTGGTCTGTTATGCTCCTAAATGCCTGTAGCTCAGGGGAATGAAATTAGAATGTAACTGGAGATGACCTAGGACCCAGGGCAGAGTCAGATTAAAAGACCAAACATTTTTAAAAATTCTTTCTGGAAGAGTCCAATTGAAATTAGGCTTGAAAGATTTTAGTTCTTATCTTACTGTGGCTGTATTTCATAATCTTTTTTTTCTGACTCATTCCTGTGTTTGTATTTTGGAATGTCTCTTTTCTATAGATAGATAAATAGACAAAGATTACACATGAAGTTGTGCATATGTAAAAATATCAAAAAAAAAAGATAGTGTACAAAACAGTAGTATTCAGGTAGAATGAATTTGATCTAACTTTTAAATGTTTTAGCATCTCTTTTATTTAATTTGTAGGTTCCTGGTAGTTATTGTCTATAACTAGACTAGAATTTTATTTTTACCATTTTTAGAATTTGAAACATATTCTTCTAGGCTCTTATTTATTTTCAATAATCAGTAGTGTTGAAATAGGCAACTGCGTTAAGAAAAGTTTACTTCATAGGGCAGCTATATTTTAATTTCCAAATTTCAACCTTCTGTATCTCTTGCATTTTAAAGCTTCATAAGTCACTGATATTTGTTGTTGTCTCACCTTTTTTGCTTCTTATGTGTAGTCTTACATTTATTGGCTGGATTTAACATTAACTTTCATAGTTGGTGAAAAGGGGAAAGGTAAATCATCCCCTTTTCAGACTTGTTGCAAACTCTGTCTTTCCCCTCAAAGCTTTTCTTGAGAGAGAAGGAACCAAGAGTATTACTTCCCTTCTTAGATTTTAAACGTTTTCTTTCCCCGCATAACAATTCCAGAAGAAGAGCAGAGTGGAGTGTAGGC